GTGTGTGTGTGTGTGTGTGCGGGGTGGTGTTCGCAGGACACAATGGACAAAGGGGCATACTCTCCGCCTTCAGCTGGCGCGACCATCCACCAGAGGGCGGTGGTGCTCCACTCCGGACTCTGGGAAAGAGACAGAGACAGAGAGGGACCTATTTAGCCCCAACAAAGGCAGCCTGAGTGAAAGTTTAGAAAACTCCTGGTGGGGTGAAGGGTCTATTTCCCCCCTTCTCTGGGTGGGGGATGTGGGGCGAGGGAGGGAGGAGAATGAGAGCTGGGGGGAAACTCCAACAAAAAGAGGAGACTGCATGGAAGGTGCCTTTTTTTTAAACAAATCTTGCAATGCATTCCTCCCCCATGTACCAAAGCCGAAGAGCAGCCAAAAAAAAGTTTGGGGAAGGGAGAGAATTACGTTATTTTCAGCGAATAGCAGTGCAATTGTATAAAATGCATGCGTTCCAAAGTGAAAACACGTCTCAGAAATAAACTGGGCTTTGTTCAGGAGGCGAACTGTGATAAATGCAGCTTTTTGCAACTTGTAAGGGCAGGTTTTGCTGAGATATGTTGGATTTCTGGGTCAGTTTCATTGCAATTGACTTGGGGAAGGGGGCTGTCAATCAGCGGGTGACAGGCAGGTGCCTACGCCAATGGGAGGGGCCGGGGTGGGCACCATGTGGAGGAGGTGACCAATGGGGTGGTAGAGGGGGCGGGGTCTGTCCCCAGGTCACGCCCCCCCACTCCCGGGTCTCACGGAAAGTTTCGGCGGAGCCGCTGCGCGAAGTTTGTGCTGATCCCGGTCCGTGATGGCCAGCTCCCTGCTCCGGTACTGCCTGCTCCTCCCCACCGTACTGGCCGTGGAAGGTGGGTACCCCGGGGGGAGAGGGGCAGGGGACAGGGGACAGGAGACAGGAGACAGGAGAGAGAGGAAAAGAGAAGACAGAGAGAGAGAGGAGGAAAAGGAGAGAGACAGAGGGACAGTAGGACAAGGGAAGAGAGGGAGAGAGAGAGAGAGTAGGACAAGGGAAGAGAGAGAGGGAGAGGAGGACAAGGGAAGAGAGAGAGGGAGAGGAGGACAAGGGAAGAGAGGGAGAGAGAGAGTAGGACAAGGGAAGAGAGGGAGAGAGAGAGTAGGACAAGGGAAGAGAGGGAGAGAGAGGGAGAGGAGGACAAGGGAAGAGAGGGAGAGAGAGGGAGAGGAGGACAAGGGAAGAGAGGGAGAGAGAGAGAGAGGAGGACAAGGGAAGAGAGAGAGGGAGAGGAGGACAAGGG